TTTTGATCACCTTTTTACCTCTAAAGGTCTCTTTCTCTCCCTATACTGCCAAAGAAGAGACAGCAATGGTTGTCAAGTAGTTAAGATACAATCACAAGTTATAAAGCCCCACAATCAAGGCAAGAACCAATACCAACTGCCATTTTCCAGGGAAGCAGACAAAACCTGTGAAAGTTACTCTGAGTTTAGCAATAAGAAGATTGAAAAAGGAAGCTCACCTCCTGATCACATCTACCTGAAGGCAATCAAAAAGCATAAAGAATACCAAAGCACACACTCAACTAAGTATTAAGGCCACAGCTAAACACGAAACATGCCCAAAAAGCAAAACAGATAACCATATCAGCACACATCCAGAAACAAAATAAAACGTCTGAGACAAATGACCTAGAGGTAGACCTGGACTTCATTCTGGAAGGAGGGCAGGCCTTGCAAATGCCTGAGAAGGAATTCAGAAAAATGATTATAAAATGTTTCAAAACACTTTACAATGGCGTTGAGAAAAGTAAGGAAGAAGTTAGGAAAATGCTACCGGAATAATCAAATAAGAAAGATAGAGAATTGGAAACAATTCAAAATCTGCAAAAAAGAGGTCCATATGGTTAATAATAAATGACAACTTGAAGAAGAATGGAATTATTGCATCCTTTATATGATTCCCATTTGGTCATGATACATTAACTTTTTGATGTGTTGCTGGGTTCTGTTGGCTAGGATTTTGTTGAGAATTTTTGCATCTATGTTCATGAGGGATATTGGTCAATAATTTTTTTTCTTAATGACGTCCTTCCCTGGTTTGGGTATGAGGGTTATGCTTGCTTCATAAAATGTATCATGATCAAATGGGAATCATATCAGGGATGCAAGGATGGTTCAAAATTATAAAAACAATCAATGTAATCCACTATATAAATAAGAAAAAAGAAAAGAACCACACAATTATATGGATTGATGCAGAAAAGGCATTTGACAAAAACCAAGAACCATTCCTGATAAAAACACTCAGCAAACTAGGAATTGAAGGGAAATTGCTCAACATAATTAAGAGCATATATACAAAACCAACGGCCTACATTACTCCCAATGGAGAGAAACTGAACACCTTCTCTCTGTTAACAGGAACCAGACAAGGATACCCTTTGTCACCACTCCTATTCAACATTGTGCTAAAAGTCTTAGCAAGACCTATACAGCAAGACAGGGAAATTAAAGGCATCAAAATTGACAAAGAGGATGTAAAACTCTCTATTTGTAGATTATATGATCCTAAACGTAGAAAACCCCAAAGACTCAGTAAAAAAGATACTAAACCTCATTGGAAGATTCAGTAAAGTGGCAGGATATAAGATCAACATGCAAAAATCAGTTGGGTTTTTCTATACCAAGAGCAACAGCACTGAAAAGGATATTAGGAAAGCAATGCCATTTAC